AAGGCAGAGAGAGGAAAATTCTTGTGTGTTCAAAACCAGCTGGGACTACAGGGAGACCCTGTTTCAAAAAGACCAAAAAAAAAAAAAAAAAGAATATATTATCTGATCTAAATCAAATATGGAAATAATCATCATATTACAATTCAATTTAACTTATTTCTGATTTCTGATTTTAAAGTTAAATTTTTGAGGAAGAGGGGGAGAAATAAACATATAGATGCATATATTGAGCATGTTTACATCATGGATGGAATGTCCAATAAACAATCCATACCTCCCCAAAGAGAACATCAGCATGCAACCACAGAAAAAAATGTTTGTGTGCAACATCTTGTTTTGCACAAAAACCTTCCATCTTTTCTTCACCTGCCGTACTTTTAATGTTTCTCCTTCATTTTAATATTTTATTTAGTTTTATTTTATGTGTATGAGTTTATTTTCTGCATGTGTATAGGTGTACATGTGTTGTGTAATGCCCATGGAGGTCAGAAAAGGGTGTTGGATCCCCTGGAAATGGATTGCAGACGGGTTGTTAGCCACCACGTGGGTCCTGGGAATCAAACCCAGTCCTCTGCAAGAGCAGCCAGTGCTCGTACATCTCCCCAGCCCCATCTCCTTCATTTTAAACACCATGCATACTATGGCAGAATGCATGGCCTTGACTCCTCTGCCCTACATAGTAAGTACTGGCTACCAACACCCAGAAGTGATGAACATTAACAGCACCTCAGCACCTGCAATGCCCTGCAGAAGGAGCAAAACTCCTAAACAGCATAGAAAACTCAGGTATTTTCATGAGACTTACTTTCATCATTTTCTCCAGCCTCGGATGTCACAGTAATGGTGAAGCTGGGTGGATTTTCTGATAATACTGGAAAAAAATAAAGAGAAATTACTAAGACATTTCCTAGGGCAGATGTTTCATTTAGCAATCCATCACTGTCCAGCAAAGAAAACTGGTTCCCAGTCTCTATTTTCATTTCAACAAATACAGATTAACAGAACACTGAAATGATAAACCTATTATGGCAATCAAGAGTAGTTTTTAATCTGAAAAGAAGAACCTTTAGTGTATAACTCTCTGGATGTTTTACCTAATCAATTAAAATACTAGGCAGTTTATATTTCTTTTCAAAATCTATGTGTACATGAAATATTACATTCTTAAAAATCCTAAATAGAATGGTAAACAAAAGTTTGACACTACTTACTGATATTCATGCCATGATGAGATTTTATACTATCTTCTTGTTACTTCCTACAGGTTTAAGTGCTAACCTCATTCAGTTACATAAGAAATAACAGCCAAACTGAATCCTTTCCAAAATACTGAGCCTTTACCATCTCTCACACAATTATAAAAGGAACTGGCTATGAATCTAAACATCAAATTACTCATAACTTACTAAGCAAGTCCTGTGATCTGGTTTGTTTCTTCATTGCTGTGACAAAATACTCTGACCAATACCAACTTTGGGGAGGAAAGGGTTTATTTGGTTTACATCTCCCAGGTCATAGTTCATCAGGGAGCCCAAGGTAGGAACTCAGGGCAGGAACCTGGAGGCATTACCTGGAGCACAAGCCAGGGAGGATCTGCTTACTGACTTGCTCCCCTGGCCCCTGCTCAGCCTTGCTTTCTTATGCAACACAGGCCCACCTTCCCAGGGGTGACCTCCCACAGTGGGCTGGGCCCTCCCACATCAGTCAACAATCAAGAATATGCCCCATGGACATGGCCACAGGCCAGTGTAATGAAGGCAATTCCCCAACTGAGGCTCCCTCAAACCAGGTGAGTCAAGTTGACACTAAAGCTATCCAACACAACCTGTTAAGTCAACATTTATATAAATAAGAGCTTTATAAATCACTTTACAGCTTATCATCTTCTCCCAAACAAGGCTATTGCAAGATATAAGAACTTCCAAATCAGTGGCCAGAAGGTTCTAGAAAGTCAATAAATACTGGCTTAATGGCCTAAACTAATTCAGGAAAGGGGAAAAGCAATTATCAAAGAAATCTGTACTAAAAACCAAGTGAGAAGTGGACAGGAAGCTTCCAGCTACAGGGGCAGCGTGAAGCTAAGCCTCCCTTCCGGCTAGGAAGAAGCACTGGCACCTCTCAAGGGGGGCAGCAGCTTTGCAGACTAGGAAAGAGCAAATATCACTCAAGAAGGCACCACTGGGACTACCTGGCTTTAAATTACCCAAGAACTTCATGAAGCCACCACAGGCATGTATTATCAGTAATATTTTAAAGACAGATATCTTCACTGTAACTCAAGTTTAAAACACCTGAAGCAGAGATGAACGTCTGGGTTAAATAACAAAGCACTCTCCCCATACTCGGGTTTCAGAGAGCCATGCTGAAAGTGGAATCCTAGACAGAAGCAACTGAAAGTTTCTTATAATAAAGCTCCAGTCATTTTGTTACTTATTTTAATAAATGTTTATTAAAATATATTAGATATACTTCATATATATTTTTCCTATCATCACTAATTTTAGCATTTACTTGTCATGAAATGTGAACACTGCAACCACAGAAATAAAAAGTTGAAACAAGGGTTCCAGGAGGCAGTTAGTCTAAGAACAGCCACAGGGATCCAGCATCTCTCTGTACCTGTGTGTGCTATGTAGTTATAAAAATCCTTTCACTTCAATACCAAACCATGGCTTTATACTCTTACAATAGTTCACCAAATATAAGATGCTAAACACAAAATAATTTACCTTATAGATCACTAGAAAAGAAAAAGATGCCAATTAAACTGCCATGTAATTGGTACATTCTTATTTCAGTGGTATTAAAATGTAAAAAATGTCTTAGAAACAATTAAATACATTATCACTTCAAAGTCATAGAGAAGGAAATGTAAGACACATGAGTTGTGCAAAGCTCTGCAGCTAGTAAGCAGCACAACAGAACGAACCATACAGAGCTTCATTTAAAAAGGAAAAGAAAATTCTTTCCAGCTGATAAATTCTAAGGATGTCATTTGAATTAGGCTGAAAGTCACAAATAGTACATTAGGGAGTAGAGACTACGACAAGCCAGGAATGCAGGTGGGGAGGCGAAGGAACATGTAGGGGATAATTATGTTTTCTGTTTGGTGGACATATAATATGAGAATGAATTAGGTGAGGACACATTGCAAAGGTTATCTCAGACAGTAGCAGTTTCAGCAGTTGGAACACTAAGATTAATCAGTGGAGTGGTGAGGCTCTGGAGCAAGATGCTAGCCCTAGGAAAGGTAGGAAACTCAGGAAATGAAGACAAATGACACAGTGAGGCTGAAGGCTACAGATGGACCACTACCCTGAACAAGGACTGCAGAAGGGAACTCAGACATGACATACAAAGACAGAGATACCAGGAGCTGGAGGTGAAGAGCAGGCAATTAGAAAGGGGCAAACAGAACAAAACAAGGCCTTAATGCAATGTGGATCTTCAGATTAATGAGGCCATCAGAGAGAAAAGATAATAGAGAGATGATGCCAGCCAGCTTGGAAAGGAGTCCTCGACTTGAACAACAAAGAGGAAGAAAAACTGAGATTTAAAAGTAGCAGTCACAAGAGATCATAACGATCTAAATGCTTAGTGTACAAATCAGAGAAGAGCTTTTCTAGATGGAAGGTGATTCCCACTATCTGGCCCTGCCCTGTGTACTGCCTCTGCTTAAGGAGATTTCATCTCATCATTGCAGGCTTTTATAAGTAGTTATCAGATCAGGTGTGGTGGCCCAGGCCAATAATCTCATCACTTGAGTGATGGAGGAGGTAGGAGGGTTAGTTCAAGGACATCCCCTACTACCCAGGTCACTGTCAGGAGTTCAAAGACAGCCTCAGCTACATTGGGTGCTGAAGCAATCTGAGCTATTTTGAGACTGTCTCAGGAAAACAAACAAATGAAAGCCAACGCACAAACAAGAAAAAATAAAAGCAGTTCTCTATCATCAGTAAATTAGGATCACCTATAAAAACAATTGAGCTATATAGCCAAACGCTAGAAAAAACTAGTTTTTGTGAATACACTGGGTTTGACACAGTGTTAACATGCACTGTACTGGTTGTGCAGTGATGGCCCAATGCCCCATAAGATCTCTCAATTCCTGACAAGGCCCTGCTTACTTGTCAGCTCGCTCTCATTTCCATTTCTCACTTTATGTTCTAGCAGTGCCGAACCATTTGTACTTAGCACACAGCGTTCCAGAATCCTGCTTCCACACATGCTGTGTCCCTGATGAAAAACCCTGGGCCCAGTTTCATTCACTGAATTCATCACCTCTCAGTTTTCGGTAACTCTGGCAGTCTCCTTTCCATAAACGGATAATTGCCTCTTTGCCGAATAGACTGAATTCTTTAACATCTATTTAACTAATATTTGGTAAATAAAGAAGCCAAAGGGCATGGAGAGTTAGCAAGAACAACAGGACACTGCCTGATCTTTCCTGATGGAATAGGGAGCAATGACAGAGGAAAAAAACCTGCAAAAGCATGAGCAGGAAAAGGCTGTAGGACTGTAAAGGTTATATAGACAGGAGAAAAATCCGAGGCCAAAATTTTATCAATGGCATTTCCTAGGTATGCCCATGACCACGAGCAGAAAATCAAAATTACTACCTGATAAAGACAAGGGATTATGAAGCTCCATATCAGGATCAATAGCAAGGATGATGCATTTCTAGTAAAGAGTATCTTATGTCTGTTTAACAGTTACAAAGTATTACACTTACATTATTTCCCATTAAACACTCTGCCTTCCCAGTGCTCAGATTATAGGTATATACCAGACCTGGCTCATTCCTGAGTTCTGATGAAGGACAGTCCTAATTCTAATACATTGCTCTGGGTTAGGATAAGACCCAGATGCCAGACTTGACCATTGTGAAAGGATCAAAATATTTTAAAGCTTTATTATTTATTTATGTGAATTATTTTATGTGAATGTATTTCCTGTGTGTGCAGATGCCTGCAGAGGCTAGAAGATGGTGTCAGATCCCCTGGGGCTGGAATTACAAGCAGTTGTGAGCTTCCTGATGTGGCCCTCAGGTGGTGGAAACCAAATTTAAGTCCTCTGGAAGATCAGCAAGTGTTCTTAACCACTGACCATCTCTGCAGCCCAGGGTCAAAATACTTAGGAGAAAAGGAGAATCCTGGGCATTGTGGACACAACTGGGGGCAGATAATGAAATGGACAGGAGTTGAGAATTTTTCAAAAACAGATAATGGAGGCGATGCTAAAAGCTAGGCCAGCAGGATCCAGAAGACCTAAAGATTTCACAAAGAACCAGAAAGCCTCTATTAACAGCCTCTCACAACATGACTTCTAGTCTTCCTCCTGAGACCACTATAATTGCTGAATGCTAATGACAGCTATTTAGAGGACTGACAAAGGAAATACAGGATGTCCCCCTTTGGTAAGGCAAACAGAATTAAAGGAACTTGGTTTTGGTTAACCAAAGGTCAACCATTTAATTCCAAAAAAACCTCCCCACTAGCAGATATTCTGATACAGAGATGGAAATAACTAAATTCTGCTACCTTAGCAGTGAGGCACTACTGAAGGACAGTGTGGTGTCAGGAGAGTCCGCTTATGTTTTGGAAGGCTAGTTGTTAGAAGGGTGGATCAAAGTGCAATGAAGCTACAGAGCAGGCAAAAAGAAGAAACTGTATTATGATTTGTTATACTTCACAGCAAATGCAACAATGGACCAAAAGGTCATCACAAACAGAAACTCAATTAGCTCTAAGGTTCAGCTAGGTCTATGCCCAAAAGAGTGCCTCTTTGATACCCACCTACCAAATGCTTCTCTCTTAAATTCACAGGCATGCTTCTTCTTTCTTTCTTTCTTCCAACCCCCCACCCTCTTTCTTTTATTTTATTTTATTTTATTTTATTTTTTTAAAGACAGGGTCACCCTGTAGCACCAGCTGGCCCAGAACTCCCTAGATCAGGCGGGCCTCAATCTCAGAAAGATCTGCCTGTCTCTGCATCCTGAGTGCTGGGATTAAAGATATGTTCTTCACCCAACATTTAACAAATCCAATAAAAAATGCCATTTGAAATGAACTTAGAAAACTGCAAATCAGTGTTCTCTGGCCAACCGATACAAGGTAGCTCTTTTTCTTAGACCTGGCATAAAAGCATGGAATCATAAGCACAAGAGAAAGCTATAAAACAGCAAACCTTTCATAACCACAAATATTCCAAAGTTCAAACACAGAAATATTTTATTTCAAAGTCCTACCTTTTCCCTGAAAGGTTTCATAAGAAACTGATCAAGAACAAGGCAAATCAAGATCTTTTGCTTACTGAAAAGCTTGTAGAGATGCTGACAGGAATCAGAGACAGGCTCAAGACAACTGCAGAAAACTCCAAGGAAACAAAATATTCGTAAATTGTCATTTGTTACTCTGGCTCAGAATCCTAAGGCACTTGTGCATCTGACAAAATTTCATAAGCTACAGCTATTAGGACCCAAGAAAATTTACACAAGACTATCTTAAAGCTAAAAATGTACCACCTTTATAAGTGTGCACACGCATAGTATTTAATGAAAGATACCTTAACATCAAAGAAGGATTAAGAATACAGCACATGTAAAGCTTTCCTGCCTCTGCCTGTGTTCGTGCCTGTTCCATTTCTACAGTGCTTAAAGTGCCCAAACATGATTAAGAATGTATCCAACAAAGTCCTGGTGGCCCACGCCTTTAATCCCAGCACTGAGGAAGCAGAAGCAAGTGTGTGAGACTGAGGCCAGCCTGGTCTACATAGTGAGTTCCAGGCCAGTTGGGGCTACAGGGAGACCCTGTCTCAAAAGACCCAAAAAAGAATATATCCAATAACTGACCCGAGTGCTCTGTTTTAGTTTGGCACTCACATACAAGCGAGGATTGAGACGGAAGAAGACTCCACTCACACTCACCCAGGTAAGGTCACTCTCAGACCCCTCTCTACACTCATCCCCTTAACATCCGCATAGCACAGTTGTGCTTTTGGTGAGAGAGAACGTGAACAGGACTGGAGCTACAGTTGCCTGTTGGCAAAACAGAACAAAATTTGCTACCATTACAACCGGTTGGTCAAAAGGTGGAGCCAAGGAAAAACTAAGCTATGCGGTGCGAAGAAGAGCGGCTGGAGCTTAGGAGCGACTGTAATAGCCCCCTAGTCTCTACATTCTGCCTGCGAAGACACCACTCCGAGGAAGGGCTGTGGAAGCAAACCTGTTTTTACCTCGCCTGCTTCTCAAATCTGAGAAAAGCCACAGACAGGTTATCCCGTCACGCTTTTCAAATCCACTGAAGCATGGCCTCATACTCAATCCTTCCTTTACAGTGCACACAAGGAACTTCCCAATGTGTTCCCTTAGCCCCACTCCGCTCTTCCGTCATCTCAGCTGAGGCTAGACCCCCAAACCCACGTCTGCAAGGTGAAAGAACCTGTAGGAACCGGGCCCTCTCCGTGCCAGGCGGGCGGCCCCAGAACACTACCTGCGCTTCCAGAAAACAAGACAAACTCTAAGGAGCGTGCTCCTCTCCAAAGACAGACTCTCAGCACCGCAACCAGCAGCGTACGAACAGCAGGAAAAACTGACAGTCGCGACTCTGGCAAACACCTCTCCCTGACAGTGTGCTTTCCTTCCGCGAGCGTCACTGCATCTCTAGTGGCTGCGGAGACACCGAAACCTGGGCGTTCGGGGCCAATTCCAGCTGTGCCGACCCCGTACCCGGGTCCCCCGGCCTCTCCCACTGCAGGAGCACGCGGGGAAGGGAACAAGCGTACGGGGAGGAGGGCCGCTCAGCCTGGGGTCCCGCTCCACCCCAGCCCCGGCTGACAGTCACCTGTGAAGGAGTCTGGGTAGATGGACTCCAGAGCCTCCAGCTCGTTGCGCTGCTCCTCGCCGTAGTCTGTCATCGTGTCCCGCGCTGCTGCCCACGCATCGGCGCGACACCCAGGCTGCTCACTGCAGCGGATACCGCGGCGCAGAGTCCCGGTGGGAAGGCTGGGGGCCCACGCCAGGCCCGGCCTGCTGAGAAACAGCGCCGAGCCTCCGCTCGCCGGTCTCCGCTTCGGCGTTCGACTCATCGGGCCTGGGCACGGGGCCGCCCATAAGCTGCCTATCCTACAGGCGCTAGGGATTGACGGAATAATTGTGGCACCGAGTCTGGCAATCGCTAAAGACAGCTAAGACCGGTTGCTGGGCTTTGTGTGCCTGGTGCCGAGAGGCCCCTCTGCACGACATCATCGCTCCACGCTCGATGTGTCCGGACTGAAAGCCTCCGTCAAGCGTGGGGCGTGGTGTCGTACCGATGAGGGCGGGGCGTGGGCATCTTCGCGAGCTTCTGCTCTTTCCAGTTCCCTGCCTACCTCCGTGGAATCCCTGTGCTCTTGTTGGTTGTTTTGGGGGTTCAGGTGATCTCTGCGCATTTCGGTATCGGGTTGGAGTTGGGTAAGGGGTTGAGACCAGAGTGGGGTACAAGTGAACCGAGCAGAGGAGGCCTAGTGATGCGCGGGGCGCCCCAACGCTGATTTAGCTGTGGATCCTGGGGAGGCCCCCGGCGTACGACCTCCAGGACAGGTTTTAGGCCTCACCTTGAGTTTGTGAAATAAACGAGGTGGCACATAGGCCTGACGGTGTCAGTAGTTGTGTGTTTCTGCGAATTGATAGAGGTGATGGGAATTGATGAGGTGATGACCACAAGCAAACTTCAGTTCCGGCCTCCAGGTTCCTGCCTGAGTTCCTGGAAGAGTAGTCTGAAATGAACACTTTTCCTTCCCAAGTTGCTTGAGCAGTGTTTTATCACAGCAACGGGAAGCAAACTAGGACGTACATGTTTAAATGACCCAAAGGACAAAGCAAAAGTCAAAATAATGGAAGTAGTCTGTCAAAGTAGTCATATAAAATCATAAAGTCAAAATTATGTTAAAAGCTTGCAGGTGTTCATCTAATAAATGGAGTACCCCTTTACGTGACTTACTACGTCAAAGAACTTTTGGTAAACCATCCTTTTTAAGTCTACTATATATTAGAGTAAGCTAAATTCACATTTTAGAATGCCGGAGTGTGATTTTGTTTGTTTTGCTTTGATCCGTTTTGGTTTTGAGTTGTTTTGTTTTGTTTTTGTGGTGCTGAAGATCAAACCCAGGGGCTTGCACATGCTGGACAAGCACTCTACCACTGAGTTATATCCCATCCTTAAGTATTTTTTTTTTATTTTTTATTTTTTTCAACTTTTTAAATCTCTTTTGAGACAGAGTCTCCCTGTAGCCCCAGCTGTCTTTGAACTCGCTATATAGACCAGGCTAGCCTTGAACTCACAGAGATCCACCTGCCTCTGCCTCCGCAGTTTTGGGATTAAAGGCATATGCCATTATGCCTGCCCTTAAGTATTATTTTTAATACTGGAGATAGGGGTTTAAGAGAGTTCCAGAGCCAATATAATGAGAACATAACCCCAAATCTTAACTTTGTCATACATGAGTGGTGATTATTAAGCATTTTCAGTGGACCTTAATTTCATTTGACAATAACAAAGGCACTTACAGAGGCCCTAACTGAAAATGTGAGAAATTCTCAAAGGGAAAATTATCCTTTTTATGTTTCAGCTTTTTAAAATTTTTTAAATTATGTGTATGAGTGTATTGCCTGCATGTGTGTAAATGTACCTGTGTCATACAATGCCTGCAGAGGTCAGAAGAAGGCCTCAGATCCCTGGAACTGGAATTAAGGATGGTTGTTAACCTCCATGTGGGTGCTGGGAATCAAACCCAGGTCCTCTGCAAAAGTAACCAGTGCTCTTAATCGCTGAGCCATCTCTCCAGCCCCCTAGTATTTGAGCTTTAATTTTCATTAAAGGTGTTAGGGAACAAGACAGTTTCAGGCTCTTCAGACCAGCACATAGTGTAATGAGAGTGGCCATCAGAGAATATGGGGCCAGAATTGAGGAACCTGTACCTAGTCATTTACAAGCTTTATGAGCTTATAGAATCACCTAGAGGATGTGAATTAATGTATATGAAAGCATGCTGTAAATGCAAAAATACAATACCAATGTTGTTAGTATTTTTTAAACACAGCATGCTTTATGCTATTGTTTATAGCTAAAGAAAATAATGCACTAAGAGATTCCTCTTTCTGCTTGTATTTTTATGTACGTTTCTATGGGTAGTGCAAAGTTACTGCTGTTTGCTAGCAGTATTACTGTGTTGCTGTTACAGCTGCAGCGGAGTACCTGACAAACAACCTAAGGAAGGAAGAATTTATTTTGGCTCACAGTCCATTGGGATACGCTTGATCATAGCAAGGAGGACAGAGCTGCAGGGGCCACTGTGGGCTTTTATGGATTGCTCCTTTTTATTCAGTCTGGGACCCCAGCCCATGGGGTGTGCTGCCTTCATTTGAGGCAATCCTCTCTGGAAACACAAAAGTTGACAAAACCACACTAATATTAGTGTTTCCAAATGGCTTTGCTGTTGCTTTTCAATTTCTTGTGCCTAAAGTTTCCCAGGCGGTCTTACCACTTAGAAGTGCAGAAGTGAGAATTTTCTTTTTAAAACAATTCTCAAACAGTGTATATGGATAAGGTTTCATTGACTTGGGACCACTAACTCGTCCCTTGGGTCTGAACAAGTGTCAATTTGGTGACCTTTTAAATATTATTTATTATTTTATGTGTATGAGTGCTTTGCCTGCGTGTATATACCCGTGTCATGCAGTGCCCATGGAGGACAGAAGAGGGCGTCAGATCCCCTGGAACTGGAGTTAAGGGTGGTTATTAGCCACCATGTGAGTGCTGGATTTGAACCCCAAGTCTTCTGCAAGAACAGCCATTGCTCTTAACCACGAAGCCATCTCTCCAGCCCCAAAATTGGTGACTTTTTGATGTAAGGAGGCCCAAATGCCACCATAGAATTTTATTAGCACTATCATTTTCTGGAGAGACATGAAGTTGATGATGTGTTTACAGACTACCAATCACCTTCCCCCATACCTGCTTCTTTATTTTATAAATATATTTAATATCTGACCTTGGGGAGAAAGATTTGAAACTTGGGTCTTCAGTCTCCACACTTGGCCTTTTGTCAATAAATTTCTTTGCACAATTGATTAGCATACTGTGCAGCACACAAAAGAAGCATGGTTCAAGAACAGGGCACCCTCTCTAGTTAAACAGTTTACTTCATTAAAATGTATTTTTAAAGCTTCATGGGCCCTTAGGGTTGGAGAGATGGCTCAGTTAAGAACACTTGCTGCTCTTCCAGAGGACCTGAATTTGGATCCCAGCATCCATATCAGGTGTCATACAATGGCCTGTAGCTCCAACACCAGGGGTCTGACACCCCTTTCTGGTGTCTACTGCCACCCACGTGCACATGGAATATGGGGAGGGAGGGAGAGGGAGAGGAGAGAGACATAAATGCAAAATCTTAAAAAAACAAACAAAAACCTTAAAAAGAAACCCTATCTAAGATATAGTAAACTCATTGATGAAGATCTGGAATTTAAAAAAAAAAAAAAAAAGAGGCAGGCAGACATCTGATTGTTTACTGTGTGTGACTGTTAGTCTCAGAGGTGGGCTGGGGACATGGCTCAGTGGATAAAGCTCTTGCTGAGCAAGTGTAAAGACCTGAGTTCAAATCCCCAGAACCCATATAAAAGCCAGGCAGGTATGGTGGCTAGCTCCCTGTAATCCCAACAGAGGTAGAGAATCCCCAGAGCAAGCTAAGTAGCTGAACTCTGTAAGCTTTGGGTTCAGTGAGAGAGTCTGCATCAGTAAAGTAGAGGGCAACCTGAGCAGTCCTCATCATCATTATCATCAACTGACCTCAGCACAATACTGCTGGCAATAGTTATTTTAATTTCCCAGTTAACATTAGCCTATAGATTTGAACTTGACAACAAAGATGGCAAGTAGCCATTATAACTATGTTAAGGTTAATGTAGCAGTTGAGAGCCATAATTTTTTAAATTCTCATTTATTTTTATTTTATGTGGATATGTGTATTGCCTGCATGTAGGTAAGTGTACCCATGTTGTGCAGTGCCTGCGGAGGTTAGAAGAGACTGTCGGATCTCCTGGGACTGGCGTTACGGACAGTTGTTAGCTGCCATGTGGGTGCTGGGATTGGAACCCGGGTCTTCTGCAAGAACAACCAGTGTTCTTAACTGCTGAGCCATCGCTCCAGCCCGAGAGCCATAATTTTTAAAAATATTTGCTCATTAAGGATACAGCCAACAAAAATCCCTAAGATAGTTTTATTATCAAAAGGAAGAGGTCTGAATAAATTATAGCAGCATTTGGAAGGATCATAAAGATTGGGATTTTTATTACAAACCTAGAAGAGATTATAGATGAAAAGATAGAATGAAGAAGATGGTTTGGAAACTAAGAATTTATACACATCTAGATTTATAAGGTGTTAATGAATTATATATTGACTTTCTGAGCATCTTATTCAAGTAGATATGCCTAAGTTGATAGACAATATTAACTCAGTTTGCATGATTTAGACACGCATGTGTGTGTATATGGGGATGTTTCAAATGTGACAGCTGTCCACATAATTTCTATTAAGCACCCTTGAAATCTTTTATAAATATCTTTTTTAAATAGAACATGAAAACCAGATAGACATCTAAGGTACATTTTTGTCTTTATGCCAAGAGAATTGTGCACTTGAAGAGCATTAGAAGTCCTAATTCCCCATAACATGATCCAGTTATCCCCACACACCTGGGGCTGGCTTTGGAGGACTGTATGCTCCTTCCACTTCCAGGTCACTTTTTGCTACATTTGTAGTTGAAGATGTGTTCTCTCAGCTTCCTGATCCAGACACCAAGCCTGCCATGATGCCATGCCACCCTGACATTCATTCTCTCCCTCTCTCTCTCTCTCTCTCTCTCTCTCTCTCTCTCTCTCTCTCTCTCTCTCTCATACTGAAGGGTGACCCAGGACCTCGCATAAGGACCTCTTAGTCATGCTGTTTTATCACAGCAACAAAAAGTAACTAATACATTAGCATATTGTTAATTATACAAAAGAATGAATTTCATGACATTTATTACAAAGGGTTTTGATCATATTCACCCTGTTA